GCCATCCTGGAGCATGCAACTCCTACATTATTATTAATATTATTATTCACAGCCTTTGGGGCTGGTTGGTAGCTCAACAGCTCGAGTCCTAACCAAGGACCTAGGAACTGTTCAGGTGGCGTCAGAGGATAGAAGCTGTTCCAAGTAGGGTGGTTTTTTTGTAGCATCAGGGTATTCGAGTCTGATAAATTCAGAATTTCCAAATAGCGAGGCAGCCCTTTCGGGTTATTGTTATTTATTATTTATTATTATTTAATCTTTCCTGGCACATTGTAGCCCTAAATAGGGATTCCTGCAGTATTTCCCCCCAATAACGGGGTTGAAAGACCTTTTATGGAGTACATCGTATCGGCACTTAGAAAGTTGAAGCTAACTCTGGGTAATTCCCACGCTTCAGAGAAATACAAAGAATAGAAATTTCCCACTCCCCACAGATGTCCTAGGTCACATTAATCTTCCCCCTTGGTCTCAGCAGATGTTCGTTGCCACGACTTTGGTTCCCACGCTGTGTCTGGTGGGTGTTTTATCTAGTGGACCTCAAGCATTGCGTTCCAGTCTAACTTCATTTTTTTAAAATAAACTTTATTGCATTTTTATTACATTAAAAACATAAAAATATATCACTTAATAACAGCTATTTGTGGTGCTTATCATATAACAATCATTTGTGCAACATTTACAGATATTAATTTGTGCCTAATTATATTCTTACCCTATCTATATTCTATATTTAATAATTACCTATCCTTAATCTGTCTCCGATCTATCCAGCTGTACCATTGTTCCCATACCTTATAAAATATTGAAGCTTCCTCTAACTTCTAACTCCCGCCCCACAAAGAGTGGCAACTGTTGGGCATTTTACCAGACAAGTACAATAAAGGGAATGTATATTTGATTTTACACGTGTTGACTGCAGCTAGAATTGTATTTGCACAACAAGAGAAAAGTGAAGAGATCCCAACAGATGAAAATGGGATTTAAAAAAATATTAGAATGTGCAGAAACGGACAAGTTAACACTTACAATGAAAGAAAAGAAACTGAATATGTTTTTTTGATGTAGGACTTATTTTATCAACGGTTAGCTAACAAAAACAGGAGCTAGAAGTAGGGAAATATATGGAAGGATCAGTGATATAAGGAAGATGTGTTAAATTGGTTAAACAAATATTGCTATTATCAGTATTATTATGATTGATACTAATGTAATGGATGCTCCTGTAAGTACTTTGACTATTATTTCCTAAAACAACTTGTACCCAGACAACACACTGTTCAATTGAAATTGGAATTGTTATAAAAATAAAAAAATTAAAAACTGGGGGTGGGGGGGGAAGAAACAAAGCAAACTTAAATATAGCCTTGGCCATAGTCGTTTTGAAATTGACAGTCCTTGTGTCAAGGCTCCGACAGTTCCCCCCCATTTAAATCATGAGTATCCAGCCGAACTTCCAAAACTTAAAGAAGATTTATTAGGAGTAAACATGCCAGCGCTGCCTGGGTGTAGCTGACTCATCATCACCCTTGACCCTGGTTTTCCCCCCACACCCCCTGGGTGTATCGTAATTCGTATCCTCCAATGGGACACGTCCATAGCCCAGAGTCATCAATCATGCTCTCCAGTTAGAATTTTGCACGGCAGAAACTTCGGTCACCTAGTTACTATCTTTGAAAAACTATTTATGGAATGCACTTTTGGTTTGCAAGCTGCCCACTGCTCCCTTTCTGTTGGCAACTCTAAAAAGACCATAGAAATATTTTACGAGTTGACGCCTTGATTGTGTTCTCCAGATTGCATGCGCCGTGGGGCAGCCGGACTGCCACGCCTTGCTAACTTTGCTGGGTGACCCGCAGGGCAGCATCACCTTTTATCGCTCTCTTCCCTTCCAGATGCAACCACCGTTTTGTCCGGACGCGGAAGGGGCCACCCTGTACGTTTCGGAAACAAGGAATTCTCAACCGGGTCTCGACGCTCCGCGGAGTGAGAGACGGAAAGGGGGATGCTCCCCTAGCTGGGGGCCACCCCCTTCCCCGTGCCTGGTCCTTGTGCCGCTGGGTGAGGCTGGAAGTGGAAACAGGGAAGCAGCCAAGGTGGACGCCCCCCAAAAGCCACCCCCTGCCGCTTGCCCCGAGGCGAAGGAGAGAACGGGGCCCCGAGAGGCGCTGACCCAAAGCCCAGCGGAAGAAGAGAGGAGGCAGGGGACATCGGCTCAGATGCTGCAGACCCCCAAGTCCATTTTGCTTACACCGGGGTGCAAGCATGGTAGGGCAAGGAAGAAGGTGGGTGCCGAAAAAGTTGGCGGGTTTGAAATACTAGCTGGATCCCCGTGCTTCGCTATGAAACTATGTGGTTGGGCTTAGTTTTTGGGGAGGAAGATAAGGGGGGGGGAAAATTCTGCCTCTGCCTACCAGCATCCATCGGTATTCATCTTGCTAGCATCCTGTCAGTGTGTGAGAGAGTTGAGGGCTGTTTGGAAAGTGAAACAGTATTTGCTGTGTGAGCAAGGAGACAGCAAGGAGCCTGGGCGTGGCTTAGCTCAACTGTTCTGTACTAAAGCTGCTTGGTGCTGTGAAACTGAAACTCCTCTGCTTGCGTTTTGTATTCGGATTCTTTTCAGGTGGGGAGGGGGAGTAGAACTCCTCAGCCTCAGAGCGTGTTAATAATAAAAATATAGGAAATATTAATGGCTCTGATGGTCATTTGGAAAAATCCTTCCTTAGTGAGTACCTAGAAGCCAAGAGGAACATACGTGCCAAATTTCAAGTTTGGAGGCTTTACAGTTCTGGAGATTTTGTGATGAAGTATGAATGGTTTGGAAAGCCAGCAGGGTAGTGATACTGATTTAAGACGGGGAGACTATTCGTTTGAGCAAGTACTTCTTCTTCTTTTTTTTTTTGAAGGAGGAGGTGACGCTCCGCTAGTTTTCAGGCAAGAGGTGATAGATAATGTTGGGCACTTCAGGGGCATGACTTGGTCACTGGCACCAAGGAGGCAACGTTTCTCTCTTCCCAGAAAGAAGCCGGTCATGTGACGTTCGTCTCCGACACGGAGGACCATTTGATCCCAGCGGACAGCCTGTCCGCGCAGCCTTTCCTGGGCTACGACTGGATCGCAGGTGGGAAGGAGTTGTGGGCTGCTTCCCACAACGTCTACACAGAGCCTCCATGCTCAGATGCAGTGTGTCTGCACACTGGAGTGGTGGAGAGCTGTTGCAAATCCATTGAACTCCCCTTAGGAGCCGCCCTTATATTGGCGTAGCTCTCTTTTTTTTAAAGTTAAAAAAAACACCCCCCGTTGCATTTTTATTCTTCGGACTTGTTCCAGAGGGCATCTGCGCCTCTCTTCCAGAGGTGTTTTACAGTAGCTCCCCATCATGCTGGGCCTTTTGTCCTCTCCTGTCCTAGCCAGGATGTGATGACCCAAAGGGGCGTGGCACAAGGGCAACCCAGTCAGATAATCAGTAGGAATCCCTTTATTAGCTCCAACTTTGCCCCCAATGTCCTGGTTACCTTCTGGGCTGGAGTAAAACTCTTCCAGGAACAGCCTTTGACTACAACAAATCAAGTCCAAAACATGGTCAACAAAAACTGTATAAGTCCAATCAAGGCAAAATGAGTTAATTAGGCAGGCAGGGCAGGAGAAGGAATTCCAGACGTGAAGGAATGGCAGTAACTCAACACGGTTTGGAAGACGCCAGGAACACAGGTAAGCAAAGTCAACACAAGATAAACTCACGTTTGTTCCCAGCAGCTGCCACACTCAGCTTGCATCTCTTTTAAACTCTCATTCCCAGGTATGGCTAATGAAGGGAATCAGGGCCCTTTCCTCCTCCGTAAGCCATGCAACCCATGTTGCTCCCTTCTATGTTCCTCCCTGTATGCCCTAGGATGAAGAGGGGGTGGACCTGGGTCTTCCTCTGAATTCCCTCTCCCTTGTCCTACCTCTCCCCTGCTCTGCCCAGCCGGACTTTGCCCTTCCACAGTTTCCTCCACAGCCAACGGAGCCACACTCCTACTTCCTGCCAGCTGTTCGTAATACTCCTCGGGTACAGACTCCAATAGGGGCATAACACTGGAGAGGACCAAATTTCTAATAAGATCTGACAACGTTCATTTACATTTGCTAAGAAAAAGGAGGGATAGATCCTCCCTACACAGGAATAGTTTGCCTGTGTATTCTGAAGGGCTTGAAAATGGACTTCCGATCCTGCCCTTTCGCTCTGGTGGTGGGTTTCACCTGCTATCTTGGGACTTTCCTTCTTTCTGTAGGGCTGCTGGAGACGGACACCTCCCTGTCGGAAAAACCCGAGGAATATTTTGCCGAGCTGCAAAACTTCCGTCAGGTGAACAAGGAAGCTTGCATCCACAACCACGGCTTCGAGTACGACCAGGCTTGGGGGCGGTGGGGGGAAGTTGGGAAAACGAGGCGGCCGTGGGAGCTTGGCTTGAGATCTGGTCAAACCCGAGAAGTACCATTTTTGAAACAGAGGTTCACACCCCAAATGCTTCAATCGGGGAGTTAAAACCTGCCAGCCGCTAATTTCGCACGAGAGATTAAACTAGAGGTCTCCAAACTTGGCAACTTTAAGACTGGAGGACTTCAACTCCCAGAATTCTCCGCGTTTTCTATTTTAAGTCTTTCTTTGCTGTATGATCCCACAAAACGACCCTTGTTTCATCATAGTCTGGCAGGGCTAACTCGGCTTCCAAACCAAACAATGGAAAGAGATGTGAGAGGTCATCTAGCCCAACCCGCCGTAATACACAATGTTCCCCCCCCGCCTCGGTTAGTTGAAATGACACCGCACAATTCCTTTCTCAGGTTGTAAATTCGGGCTTTCCCCCTTCTTTACAGGTTGGAAGACGTGAATTCTTTGGCCGTGGATCAGGAGATGGAAACAGACGCGGCTTCCCACCAATGTAGGTCCCGAAGTTTCTTGGGCCAGGGCATTTTGGGGACTGGAAATTCTGCAGAAATTTTGTGCATGGGAATAACAGTCCCTGGCAAGGCCTAGACCAGGAGATCTCCACATTTGGCCACTTTTAAAGTCTTTTTGTTACTAAGTGGAGAACGCTTCTGGACTTGGTGCTTGAGGCGGAAAAAAACCAAATCTTTGATTTGGCGTTTTACTGATTAGAATAGGACAGAATAACAGAGTTGGAAGGGACCTTGGAGGTCTTCTAGTCCAGGAAACCCTACACCACTTCAGACAAATGGTTATCCAATCTCTTGTTAAAAACTTCCAGTGTTGGAGCATTCACAGCTTCTGGAGGAAAGTTGTTCCACTGGTTAATTGTTCTCCCTGTCAGGAAGTTTCTCCTTAGTTCTAGGTTGTTTCTCCTTGATTAGTTTCCACCCGTTGCTTCTTGTCCTGCCTTCTCAGGTGTTTTGGGGAATAGCTTGACTCCCTCTTCTTTGGGGCAGCCCCTGAGATATTGGAAGACTGCTATCCTGCCTCCCCTAGTCCTTCTTTTCATTAAACCACTAGACATACCCAACCATTCTTCATATGTTTTAGCCTCCTAATCATCTTGGTTGCTCTTCTCTGCACCTTTTCTAGAGCCTCAACCTCTTTTTTACATCGTGGCGACCAAAACTGAATGCAGTCTTCCAAGGGCGGCCTTACCTTATAAAGTTATATTATTAACACTTCACGTGATCTTGATTCTCTCCCTCTGTTTCTGCAGCCTAGAACTGTCTTGGCTTTTTTGGCAGCTGTTGCACACGGCTGGCTCAGATTTAAATGGTTGCCCACTAGGACTCCAAGATCCCCTCTCACAGTTACTACTATTGAGCGAGGTACCACCTATGCTGTACCTGTGGCATTTTGGTTTTTCTTGCCTAAATTGTAGAACTTTCCTTTTTTCACCCTTGAATTTTATTTTGTTAGATATCACCCAACGTTCAAGTCTGTCAAGATCCTTCTGTACCTTAAGCCTTTATCTTTTGGAGCGTTGGCTATTCCTGCCAGCTTGGTGTTGTCTGCTACTTTGATGAATTCCCCATCTATCCCCTCATCCAAATAATTGATGAAGTATCGATAGGCCTAAAACAGAGGCTCGGGTACCCCCACTGCGTACTTCCCTCCATGTAGATTCAGTTCCATTGGGGGCTACACATTTAGATTGATTCGTTGTTATAGAAATGGCTAGTTTATACTATTTTGGAGAAGTAAAAACTAGAGGTTTGTTGTTAAAGCTTTCTTCTACTGCAACAGAGTCGGAAGTTAAAACTTTTTCCCTTTCTCTTCTTCCTCCTCTCCTCGCTTTTCTTCCCTTTTTCTCCCCCTTGTGCCCTATTGTTTGCTTTCATATTTTTGTATTTTATTCTATAATAAAAAAAGTTTTTTTGTTTGTTTTTTTAAAAAGAAAGACTTGTGGAGTTCACCACCCGGAATTCCTCAGCTAGCAAATTCCATGGCTGGCTGAGGAATGTTGGGAGTTGAAGTCCACCAATCTTTAAAAGTTGCCAAGTTGGGAGCCCCTTCACACACACACACACACACACACACACACACACAGTTTAGAAGCATAATGAAGGGGCCCCACACAAAACCCGTGGAGAGTTTCAAGCCATTCATTTCTGGGCCTCGCTTTGCAGCCATGAGGGCTAGAAACTTAGCACCAGTTTTCTATAGAAAGGGCCCTTGTTGTAATTTTCCCTTCTGGTACCCCCACAGGCGTCTTCTGCTATCGGTTGAATAAACGCCTTTTCACCGTGCCAACGGATCCAGAATCGGCCTGCCCTGTTTGCAAGACCCCTCGCGCTGAAAAGCCTCCAGAGACGCTGGTGGAACCCGCTTTCATTAGGTGAGTTTGCGCTCCTGTTTTATTATCCCTCTTTGGGGGTAGATCAGTTTCACTCCCGATTTTAGGGTGTGTTCCCCAACAACCACCATTTAGACTTTTTCAGCACCGAGTGATGGCAGCTGGGAAGCAAGTCACACCCTATTTCACATTTTTTGGGGGGTGGCATTTCACGTGTTTTCCATTGGTAAGCAAATCTGACTTATTGCAAGCTCCCTAGGAAGATTGAAAATTAGATTAATAGAGTTGTAAGGGACCTTGTAGGCCATCTAGTCCAACCCTCCGCCCAAGCAGGAGACCCTACACCATTTCTGACAGATGGCAGTCCAGTCTCTTCTTGAAGGTCTCAAGTGATGAAGCTCCCACAACTTCCGAAGGCAACTTCTGTTCCATGGGTTGATGGTTCTCACTGTCAGAAAGTTTCTCCTTATTTCCAGATTGAATCTCTCCTTCATCAGTTTCACCCATTATTCCTTGTCTGACCCCCTCTTCCTCTCTGGGGCAGCCCCTCGAATATTGGAAGATGCTCTCCTGTCTCCCCTGGTCCTTCTCTTCCCTAGACTAGCCAGGCCCAGTTCCTGCAACCGTTCATTCTATGTTTTAGCCTCCAGTCACTCCCTCTTGCTCTCTCTCCCTCTTGCTCTCTCTCTTTCTCTCCCTTCTTCCTTCCTTCCTTTCTTTGTCTTTCTCTCCTTTTCCCCTCTTTCTCTCCCTTTTTGTTCTCTCTCTCTCTCTCCCTCTTTCTCTCCTCTCTTTTCTCTGTCCATCCTTCCTTTCTTTTTATTTCCTTTTCTTTTTCTCCCTGTCCCTTCAAATATTGGAAGACTGCCATCATGTCTCCCCTGGTCCTTCTCTTCCCTAGACTAGCCAGGCCCAGTTCCTGTAACCGTTCTTCATATGTTTTAGCCTCCAGTCATTCTCTCTTGCTCTCTCTCCCTCTTGCTCTCTCTCTTTCTCTCCCTTCTTCCTTCCTTCCTTTCTTTGTCTTTCTCTCCTCTTTCCCTCATTCTCTCCCTTTTTGTTCTCCCTCTTTCTCTCCCTCTTTTTTTTCTGTCCATCCATCCTTCCTTTCTTTTTATTTCCTTTTCTTTTTCTCCCTCTCCTTTCAAATATTAGAAGACTGCCATCATGTCTCCCCTGGTCCTTCTCTTCACTAGACTAGCCAGGCCCAGTTCCTGCAACCGTTCATTGTTTTAGCCTCCAGCCCCCAAATCATCCTGGTTGCTCTTCTCTGCACTTTTTCTAGAGCCCCAACATCTTTTTTATAGTGTGGTGACCAAAACTAGATGCAGTACTCTAGGTGTGGCCTTACTAAGGTTTTATAGAGTATAGTATTAGTACCTCCCTTGATCTTGATTGTATCCCTCTGTTAATGCAATTTAGGATTGCATTGGCTTTTTTGGCTGCTGCTGCACACGGCTGGCTCCTATTTAAGTGGTTGCCCACTAAGACTCCCTCGTAATTGCAAACAACCTGGATTCAAACCTCCCAACTCAAAAATGGGCTTTTGCGTTTTGCTCGCGACTCCTGGAGTTGCCAAGTGTCCGAATTTTGATCCCGTGACTGTGGGGAAGCTGCAGCGATCAAGTGAAGGACCGTCACTTTTTTTCAACCCTGTAAATATTGGAGGGTCGTAGGTCGAGGACTATCTGCCCCACAGGCAACCAATGCTTAGCAATGTACAGGCAGTCCTCAAATTACGACCACAATGGAGCCCAAAATTTATGTTACTAAGTGAGGCATTTGTTGAGTTTTGCACCATTTTACAACCTTTCTTGTCTTGGCTGTTAAGTGAACCATTGCAATTGATAAGTTAGTAACCTGGTTGTTAACTGAATCTGGCTTCCCTGTTGGCTCTGCTTGTCTGAAGGTCGCAGAAGGTCACAAAACCAAAAGTGCACATATAGACTGGGTGAAAGCAGGCTCAATAGCAGGAACTGTGAGAGGGATCTTGGAGTCTTAGTGGACAACCAGCTAAATAGGAGACAACATTGTCCAGCAGCAGCCAAAAAAGCTAATGCAATCCTAAGTTGCATTAACAGAGGGATACAATCAAGATCAAGGGAGGTAGTAATACCACTCTGTAAAGCCTTAGTAGGACCACACCTAGAGTACTGCATCCAGTTCTGGTCAACACACTATTAAAAAGATGTTGAGACTCTAGAAAAAGTGCAGAGAAGAGAAACCAGGATGATGAGGGGACTGGAGGCTAAAACATAACCATGAATGGTTGCAGGAACTGGGCTTGGCTAGTCTAGGGAAGAGAAGGACCAGAGGAGACAGGAGAGCAGCATTCCAATATTTGGAGGGAGAGGGAGAGAAAGAAAAAGAAAGAGATAGAGAAAGGAAGGAAGGAGAGAAAGAAAAAAGAGTGAAAGAGAAAAAGAGAACAAAAAGGGAGAAAAAGAGGGAGAGAGGAGAGAAAGGAAAAGGAAGGAGAGAAAGAAAAAAGAGGGAAAGAAAGAAAAAGAAAAAGGGAGAGGGTGAGAAAGAAAAAGGAAGGAAGGAAGGAAAGAAAGAAAGAAAGAGAGGAAGAGAGAGCAAGAGAGGCTAAAACATACAATGAATGGTTGCAGGAACTGGGCCTGGCTAGTCTTGGGAAGAGAAGGACCAGGGGAGACAGGAGAGCAGCCTTCCAATATTTGAGGGGCTGCCCCAGAGAGGAGGAAGGGGTCAAGCTATTCTCCAAAGCACCTGAAGGCCAGAGAAGGAATAATGGGTGGAAACTGAACAAGGAAAGATCCAACTATAGAAATATGGAGGAATTTTCTGACAGTGAGAATAATCAACCAATGGAACAGAAGTTGCCTTCAGAAGTTGTGGGAGCTTCATCACTTGAGACCTTCAAGAAGAGACTGGACTGCCATCTGTCAGAAATGGTGTAGGGTCTCCTGCTTGGGCAGGAGGTTGGACTAGATGACCTACAAGGTCCCTTCCAACTCTGATTATCTGTTATATCTGATTCGGTTGGGATTCAGCCATGGTCATAAGTACGAAACAGTTGCCAAGTGTCTGGATTTTACCTGATCACGGGGAGGCTGCAAAGGTCGTAACTCTGAAAAACGGTCGTAAGTCATTTTTCTCAGTGCCGTTGTAACTTTGAACGGTCACTAAACGAACTGTTGTAAGTTGAGGACTGCCTGCAATCCTCCTCCTTTCTCCCTCATTCCCTTTTCTTACTGCCAAGAAAGGGGAAATCCCTTTGATGTCCAAAGTTCTCCAGACCTTGAAGAAACACAAATCCCGTTTTTTGTTTTTTGTTTTTCATCCGTTGAAGACAGCAAAATATTTTTACTGACAGAGATCGATAGCTCCCAGTTCTGCTCCTTCCTTGATTCCAGAGAATTTTTTCTTGGGGATTATCCCAAAATGACTTTTTTTAAAAAACAAACTGTGATGACCCAGGGTGGGATATGAAATAAACACAGTCACAAAAACAGGCGAAGCCCCTTTTTATTCCTTCGCTTTGCTTCAAAGCTCCAAATATCCTTGACTGGAGACAAAAAACTCCCCCACAAGTAGTTAAAAGAAGGAGGAAATGCCGTTTAAACTAAAAATGCCTATAAATTATAAATAGCAAAAACAACACAAACCACACTGAAGCAATTAAGGGAACCGGGCAAGATAAGGGCTTGAAGATGTCCACAAATATGGGAACACACACTGGGAAGGACGCCAAACTCAGTAAGGACGGATAGACTAGGAATATTTTCATGCTTTGTTTCCAGCACTGGCCCATACGCATGTCCGTCCTTTTAACCAGTTCTCACAGCTGCAGCCCATGAAGGGGATCAAGGCCCTTTCCTCCCCCGCAGACCACGCCATTCATGTCTCTCCCTTATCCTCTCCTCCCTGCGTGCCCTAGGACGGAGAGGGGATGGGCCTAGGTCCTCCTCTAACTGCCCAGCCGGCCTCTGCCCTTCCCCAGCCTCCTCCACAACCTCCGGAGCCCCACTTCCCCTCCCTGTCGGCTCTTCCTCCTCTCCCTCGCACTCAGTCTCCAACAGGGGCACGACACAAACCAACGTAGTAAGCTAACTTTTTCTGCCATTGGTTGATTTTGGCTTTCTTCTTAACAATTCCTTACGGTGACATATTCTTGCTCCATTTTATTTTGCTTTCATTTAGAAATGGGTGGTTTTACCCAGTTCCCTTTATAAACAGGGGGGTTTTTTTGGGGTGGGTGGGGGGGAATGCCTTACCTGCTCCTTTTAGATGTTCTGATGTCGTAGGGGTCTTATTTTCCAGAGTCAGCTTCCCAAGGGATACCTTACTCCCCACATATAAGCACAAAATCCACCGACGGAAAAGTTACGAAATGGAGGACAATTTGTCCCTGCCCTCGGTGAGTGCCTGGGTTTCGAGGGAGGAAGTGTGAGATGGAACAGAAAGACAAAATTGTGCTTGGGGAGGGAGAAAATTGACACATTCCAGCATCTCTTGGAATGCTAGAATTCAGGATGGCATTAAATACTGGTGGATGGATGGATGGATGATAGGTAGGTAGGTAGATAGATACCGTGTTTCCCTTAAAATAAGACTGGGTCTTATATTATTTTTTGCTCCAAAAGATGCATTAGGGCTTATTTTCCAGTTAGGTCTTATTTTCGGAGAAATGCAGTAGTAAAAGTGTCCATCTGGCTGACAATCTTAACCAGGGCTTATTTTTGGGGGGTAGCACTTACATTATGAACATCCTGAAAAATTATGCTAAGCCTTATTTTCTGGCTGGGTCTTTTTTTTCGGGTAAACGGGGAGAGGGAGGGAGAGGAAGGAAGAGAGAGAGAGAAAGAGAAAGAAATTATAGATAAATTATAGATGTAGATGTTGGATTTAGATAGACAGATGATAGACAGACAGACAGGATAGAGATAGATAGATAGATAGATAGATAGATAGATAGATAGATAGATAGATAGATAGATAGATGCATACATACATACATACATACATGATTTAGATGATAAATAATAGAGAAAGACATGATAAATGACAGGTAAATGTAGGATAGAGATAGATCGATAGATATAGATAGATAGATAGATAGATAGATAGATAGATAGATAGATAGATAGATAGATGATAGATAGATAATAGATAGATAGATAGATAGATAGATAGATAGATAGATAGATAGATAGATAGATAGATAGATAGATGCATACATACATACATACATACATACATACATACATACATACATACATACATTATTTAGATGATAAATAATAGAGAAAGACATGATAAATGACAGGTAAATGTAGGATAGAGATAGATCGATAGATATAGATAGATAGATAGATAGATAGATAGATAGATAGATAGAGAGATGATAGATAGATAGATAGATAGATAGATAGATAGATAATAGATAGATAGATAGATAGATAGATAGATAGATAGATAGATAGATAGATAGGCAGTCAGGTAGAGATAGATAGATAGATGATAGATAGAGAGATAGACAGATAGACAGACAGACAGACAGACAGGCAGGCAGACAGGGATAGATAGATAGATAGATAGATGATAGATAGATAGATAGATAGATAGATAGATAGATAGATAGATAGATAGATGTGTAAGAGATGATAGATAGATAGATTATTGAGAGAGAGAAAGATGGATATATATGGGTGGATAGATGGATAGAGATACAGACATAAAAACAGTGTTTATCTGGAAGGCAGATGGCTTTGCATTTCCTAAAGAAAAGATGAGACAAAAGAACAAAAACAGTATCTAAATTCTCGGTGTGTATTAAGATGCTGCTTCCGTTTCGAAAGTATATTAATGGGGGAAAATATTTTTGACTTAAGTAAACACCAGGGCTGCT